ATTAACCAATATTATGGGCTATTTTTGTCTTCTTAATACCCAATTATCAACTACCTCTTATCTGATATTCTTTTAACTTCAAGTGGAATCTTCAGGACGTCTCAACATGCCACAAGTGCCAGCACATCAAAAGTTAAGCTCGTCATCAGGTAACCTTTGAGAGCTGTAGCAGAGATAGCCATCCTCTCTGCTGTAACCTGCCCACCTGATATTTCCACTGAAGTCTCCGGTAAACGCACTGTTTTATGACTTTCGTTTCTTCTGTGGCTATGGAGTCCATGTTACCACTTAACGGGGATCCACATCATTTGGGGGCAACCTGAATCTGTGTTCCTGATCCACGGTCACTTACATGTGGCTCAGCATAAATTTTCCTTCCCTATGGAGCAGGAGCTGTGCCTCCATCAACACCTACCGATGACTCTTCTGTCTCACACTGGCCACCAGAGCATGCTCTATCTGGTAGGACTCGGCACTTTTCTGTATATTAACTAATTCAGGCTATCCTTAGCCATCCTGCCCATTGCACAGGTAAGGACACTGAGGTCAGCATGACTGGGTGAGTAGCAGAAACAGAATTTGCACCCAGACCACACTGTCACTGCACTGAAGGTTGCTCTGTGCCTAGCAGGAGGAGTCAGGTTGGGAGAGCTAGGAAGAGACTGGGGACGTGGGGGAGACTTTGAGTCTTGTCTTTCTCCCACAAAACTTGGACTCTATTCCAGGGATATTGTGGACAGGAGTTAAAGAAGGAAAAAGGCCACAGACGGAAACATGTCCGCAGCTAAGATCACCTGCAGAACCTACAAATGCCTGGATACTGACCATCTGGACGTGAGCAGACCCAAAGCTGGTCATTCGTGAAGAGTGAAGGACTCAGTGTGCGGGGTTGGCTTCTAAAAGCACCTGTGAAATTTCCATGCCCTGGTGGCCCTCTTTTCCTGAGACACTGGGCCTGGCCACAGCGAGTGACTGGAAGCATCTGTTCCCTGTGAGGCAAAGTGGTGGATCTAAGGGAGGCTGATATGACTTACACCTGGTACCGGAGGGAAGGAGCAGTCAATGGCAGAGGCCACAGCAAGCGCAGGAACACTCCTGGTCATGACCTTTAAATGCTGCAGTGTTCTCAGGATCGGGACAATGGAACAGGTGCTCGGACGTGTGGGTAAATAGCCTGCTGTAACAAGCTCAACTGAGCGTATACAAGTCAGAGGGAGAACTCAACATCGCCAGCCCCCACTCTTCATTGTTTTCTGTACATACGTAGGACTTTCCCCTTAGCATCCAACACCCGGAACATCCGGGGCGTTCTAGGGAAAACTCTACGTGGGCTCACTATGAATGAATCCATTCTAAGTTGTATTTTATTGAACCCTGTTCCTGAACTTGCCCATTCAGGATATTTTCCTGATGTATTAGAAGCTATAAAAGAATTAGAAACAAGGATCCTGGAGAGGCAACAGAGCTGGTGGGCACGGCTCTGGAAATACACCCCAACTTCAAAGCCCAGCTAGGAGCCATGTGCCTGGGAATACGTTAGTAAACCACCCCGTCCCTCTGTTCCATAAAAGGCTTATGTAGTTTCCAAGGAAACACTATACAAAGTCACCTATACAAAATAAAATAAAAAGTTCTTGATGAGTGGTGTACACCTGGCTTATCAATAGCTAGTTTCTACAGTGGCTGACCAGGTGCTCTTAGAATTGACCTCCAACCAAGTCTCTGGAGGTACGCCCACATGCTCCGCCCACAGCCCCCCCACCACTACAGCTCAGTACTTCAACAGTTCGACTGATCCCTAGTATCAGCCTGGAAGTGGGATCACTAGGTTAGCATCTTAGTTACTTTTCTGTTGCTATGCACAGACCCCACGATGAAGGCAACTCCTATGAAAGAACACATCTAATTTGAGTTAGAGTTTTCAAGGCTTAGTCTATGATCATCATGACAAGAAGCAGATAGGCATGGTGCTGGTGGAGTAGCTGAGGGCCTTACATCCTGATCTGAAGGTGACAGACACACAGAGAGATACTGGGCTTGAGAAATCTCAAAGCCTAAGCCCAGCAGCATACTTTCTCCAACAAGGCCACACCTCCTAATTCTTCTAATCCTTTTCAAACAGTTCCACTCCCTGGTGACTAAGAATTCAAATACATGAGCCTCAGGGGTGTGGGGAGCAGGCCATTCTCAAACTACCACAGTTAGCCTGAAGATAGACCATGCCTTAGAACAGTTTGCCAGCACAAAGGGAACAAAAGACTATCCCATCTCACCAGTCAGAAAATAAAGACAGGAACACCCATGTCACCAAACACTAGTGTGGATGTTCTTGTCCTCCTAATGGCTTTCCTTCTAGGACTATGTCCAGGCTTTAGCAGATAACCTGCTCCCCACACATACAACCTCCAGAGACCCAGGAGAGAAAGCCCAATAGTCTCTCAGCTGCAAATCCACTGGAGACTGAGACTGTCCCACACCAGGAGAATGGTATCCCATCCCCCAGAGAACCCCAATTATCAAGGCTTATGTTTTATTTCAAATCTATGACTTAGTATGTTATTTCTTTACAGAGCACTCCAAATTGCATATGCCTCAGGCTCCACAAAGCCAGAACTATGTCCCATGCCTGCCACTAACTGGTAGATCTATTTCTCCCTGCCTGGGCTATCAGCGTCCCAGAGGTATGGCGCCCGCTGACTCCTTGCACCTCCAGTGCCCAGAAGCCCCAGGGCTGGAGGTGCCCATGAGTGACTGCCAAGCAACTGAGGAGGGGAAACACAGACAGAAACAAAAGTTATCCTCTTTTTCTACACACTCCTCATTGGGTTCACTCACTAAGTTCCCTGTACAAGCTTAACTTCTTTGCCATCTGACAGCTCTTTGGACATGCAAAGACTCTCCCTTGTTTGTGTCTCCCCTCTTCCAGGGAAGAGGCACAGGCTCTGAACACTGCCACCTTCTTCTCAAAGGCTATCAGCAAAGGAAATTCCCCAAGGTCCTCCCCACCCAGGTCAGTATCTGGGGACAACACCACGGCCCTCTTATCTCAGCTACTGAGCCTGGCGCGCAGGCTGTCCCTGCTCTGGCTGATAACACAGCCTGTTGTTTTTAGAGGAAATTAGCCCTGAGAGCTTTCGTGCATGTGACTACAGGGCCGTAGCCCCTACTAAGGAGGAAGCATGCCTGTCGCAATTAGTGACGAACAGCCCTTGTTTTCCCCCCAATGTTTCTCACCCATCAGCAGTGGGGTCAAGCTCACCACAGACACCTGCACAGACCTCTGGTGCCCACACAAAGGCAATACTCCATACCCCGGGGTCCGTGCCCACTGTCCTGCCACTTCTATGCATGCTTCCTCCTTCCCCTTTGCCACTCCTGGCCAGGATGTGCACTTTCTGGGCCTTAGTCTAGAAGAGCACCTGACACATCCAAGAGCTCAGAAACACTTGTGGACACGTGAGGGGAACGAGTGTTGGTCACGTGATGCCGGAAACACAGCTGTGCTGATGCTAAGGCTTCCTCGCTAATGCAGCTCAGCCGGGCAAACCCAGGACAAGAGAAGAGAGTTCAAGTCTTCCTCCCACTCTGAGCTCAGGACAAGAGGCCATGTGCTGCTTTCGCACTGGGACCACACACGGCTAGGTGTTGTCTGTGTACCTTCCTTTAAAAGGCTGGGTTTGGGTGATCTGGGCCATATACATGGGTTGTATATGGGAGAGGTGTCCATCAAGAAAGGCCAGCTGGCCACTCACTGTGAGTGGCTGCTTTCTGTGGCAGTGCCACGTGGCATGACGGACAGTTCAATAAAGTGGTATTTGGAGAAGTACTGAGCCGTCTAATAGCAACGTAGACTGGAATTTCATGGATGTTCTAGCGTCACTGGCAGAAACTCCCAAGACGGTGACTGCATATAAGTCAACACAATGGTCAGCTTCATGAGGTTTAGAACTGCCATGGAAATAAATCTCTGGGCATGTCTTGCGGGAGGGGGCTTCTAGGCTGAATTAGCTGAAGTGGGAATGTCTACCCTAATCATAGTGGTACCCAACACATGGGCTGGGGTCTTGAACTAAATCACAAGGAGAGAGCAAGCTGAACACCAGCATTCATCTCTCTCCGCTTCCCAAGCGTGGATGCTACATGACCAGCTGCTTCATGCTCCCGATACCATAACTTCTCTGCCACAATGGACTGACTATACCTCAAACCGTAAACTAGAATACACACTTTCTTAAGTTGCTTCTGTCCATGAGGAGAAAAGTTAGCAATGAATGTGGTTTGTCTAGTAATAATCTGGATGATATGTGTAGATGTGGATACGCACTTATACACATATAAACACGTGTGTTTGTCTTCCACAGATACACACATCCTTGCTAGCACTATGCTCAGAATGTACAGTAGGAACACATACGCACAGGTCCTCACTGTGGCTGCCACACCATTCTTCCCTGAGAGGCATCAAGGCACTGACAGAACACTGATTTCACACAACTGCCAGGCCATCTTCAGATCTAGATGTCCAGGATACAAAGCAACCGAGTCTCACCAGGTCTGTCCTTAGAGCCATCGCATAAGACTTGATGTAGAATGCAATAGCATCGGGCCAGGCCTTATTTGTAATGATGGCCACTTGTCATGGAAGAAATGTTCACAGTCCAGGGGTTTCTTAGGAGTTTCCACGAGAACTGCAAAGCTCTCCATTAGAAGCCTGCTCTGTACATCACAGGGAAAACAGGTCCCCTCTGTGGGCACTGCTCCGCACGGCTGGCAGGCTACACTACAAAAAGTCTAAGGAAACAGGGCAACACCCTGTGCTCTGCTTCATAACCCACAGGAGAGTTTGGAAAACACAGCGCATGTCTCATTTCCTCACCAATCCCTCAACATAATTCCAAAGGTGGAAAAGACAGCATATTGTTCTTATCCCCAGTGCAATCCACAGCACAGCCCTGGGGGAGAGTCTGGAAAAGACAGCATGTCTCCCTCATGTGACTCACCTCAGGAGGCTGAGCCACTGTCTACCTCTGGCTCATAGATACAACTGTCCGGATCCACAGCGCTGACCCTCGCTCAGCACTGCCCCGGCAGGTGCCAGTCGCTTCTGGATGGCATTTTCAGTTCATCAAAGTCACGGCTGAAAATGCAAAGCAGAGAGGAAGTATGGGTTAGTTTTGGCATTAATCCCACCTGAGGCCCTTCTGAGATGACTCAAGACAACGACAAGGACTTCACTCACTGACTTTCCCACCCAAACATTCCCACTACACAGAAAGCTCCAACAGTGCTATCGTCCCGTGACTGGAGGAGGGAGAACAAAACAACCAACTCAGACCTCCTGCTTGCAAGGGGTGGGGGTGGGGCAGAGAACTGCACAGAAAATGCCTGGCAATGGGACACAGGTTGCAAGGGACCCTCAGGAGAATGGAGGAGGAAGTGACCAAGTTGGCCTGAAAGAAGGATGTGGAAGAAAAGGGGCATGAGATGTTAGCCACTACCACACCTGAGATGTCACTTTTATAAAAACAAAAGTCTTCAGGGAAGGGTCCACAAGGACTGGGAAAACCAGAATGCAGGCATGAAAGCTGAAGAGAATCATTGGACAGGGGGTAACAGAGAAGAGACTCACTGGGCTTTGGCTGGTCGCCGCTGTGCAATGCATTGCTGACATCACCAAGGCCATCGTCCCAAAGATTCCCATATTATGAATTTGGAGAGCATACAGATTAGCCTAGCACAATGACTGCAGTAGAGGACAGGAAACAGCTACCCTGTCCCACTATGACCATCATGGCAGAGAGAATCCCAATTTTCTCAGACTATCCGTATTCACAGCGGTTCCGCCTTCCCTCACAAGGAGAGCCCATTTCTCCACCTTTTGATCCTGAGATTGACTTCGCAGTAGTAAATAGCAGATGGAGGGAGCACCAAGGCACAAACATAGGATAAGGCAGAGACGGGCCATCGCTTAGCAGTAGAGCGCATACTTAGTATTCGGGAGGCCCCAGGTTCCACTCCCTGGATACATTCAGCTAAAACAATATTCATGCAACAAATCCTCTTCCTCACTGCAGGGACTCATTCTGCCACCACATCCATTGGCCTGGGACAGCCCTATGGAGGATATTAGACTTCATGGAGAGGCTTTGGTCTCTCCTGTTAGCCTAGGTAAGCACCAGATTTGCTTACGAGGATGTCAGATACAGTGAGTTCCGGCCAAACTAAGTCGGAAGTATGCATCTACTCAGAGTCAGGAAGATGAGAGTAGTGGGCTGTATCAGGCCCTCGGGTTTGGACTATGCATCTTGCAGAGAAACACTGCTAACCACATACCCAGCTTGGTACCCCCCCTTAGCAGTTCAAGGCAAATTAGGAAGGAAGCTAGCCTACAGGAGATGGTGCAGGAGACAGGGCTGGGACAAAAGGAGAAGGGAGATTCAAGAGCTGTTTCAGGTAAAGAATTGGCAGATAAGTGATCAACAGAAGTCAGCTTTGTCTAAAGGCTTAGGTCTGGCTCTGGAAACCACACTCGGTGTTGACTATAAACAGTCTGTCAGGAGCTGCTGATGCGACAGGATGTTTACAGGGAAGATAGGCAGAAGAGACATAAGCAGAAGGGCTATCAGTATGGAAAAAAAAACCCCAACTTCTCCTAAGTGAGCTGCAGGGGAGGGGCCCCCAGCCCCAGTCCCAACCCCCTTACCATCTGGCCACTACTACCTCCGCCGAGCAGTCTGGCCTCTCATCAACAGCTGGAGGGGGCCTTGATTACCATTAAAAGCTAGAAGGACCTCGCTTTTCAGCAACAACCTGAGAGAGTCTTCCTTCATAGCAACTGTTGGAGGAAGCCTTGACTCTCTCAGCAGACATTGCCTCAAAGCAGCGGAAATAGGAGGCATCTCTGGACACGGAAGCTCAGTTCACCTCCCGCAGCCTCAGTGGCTCCCCTTCGCTGTCATAGCACAGCGAAAGCCAGCGGCTGACGCCAGGAACAGCCAGTTTATTACTGTGACTTCCCTTGTAGTTCTTAACACAAGTCCCCAAAACTCTTTGTGGAAAGGCCACCTTGCAGCTCTGTCTTTCCCGGGCCCTGATGGCATGCCTCTCTTTGTCCAGGCTGAAGCTTCCACGGGGGCTTTCAACTAAGATGACAACTAAACCCTCACCAATGAAACACCAACAGGAGCTACATACACAAGAAAGCCAGACACGATACTTAATACTCCATGAGGCCAGAAACAAGTTCCCAAGATTAAAGAAAGGCAATCCAAGTTTTGAGGGAGTGGCTTCCTCAAGGATTAAGAGTGGCCCGTCTGTTACTCAGCTGGTTCACTTAGTCTGTGGAGTGAAGAGTGTTGATTCCAGCTTGTTCCAAGCAACTCACTTCTTCGTCCTACCCATCTCCCAGGCAGCATGAGTACCAACCCAAGCTGCTGGATTCCAACCAGGACACTCAGAGACAAGGAAAACATTTACCAACTAACTGGAGCACAGACAAGGACAACTTGCAGCTAAACAAATCATGGTTATGTTCCTCTGTGTTCTTATTCCCCGCTCTGAGCCCATAAGTCGTTGTTTCTTTGACCCTATTAGTGCATCCACCGTTCACAGTCCCTGCGTGTCACCAGGCAAGCCTTTCGACTGCACAGCATTGCACAGTAAATCTCACAAGAGACTGTTCTCCAATTTTGTTCCTTTTCAGAGTAGGACAGGGAACTGGAAATAAAACTCAAAACATCATTCCTGGAGAGACAGTTCGCTTAATAAATCATAGCTCTTTCCCCTCCAAGCAGAAAATGATTGTCTGAGTAACTTTTAGTGTTGTCTGGCCCGACACTCTCCCTGCATTTATGAATTACAGGACTCTTTACTCAGGGGCCCGTGGACATGTCATGTTCTGACACAATATAGATGCCTTAAGGTGCACCACAGGGAAGGGCCGTCCAGTCAACTGCGTGATTTCAGAAAAATAGCTTTTTCTCAGAATTACCTGTGCTTAAGATGCAAAGTACGCCTGCTTCAACCAGGGCCATGCTGGGAAGTAGATGAACTAGCAAGTGCTTGGGAGAGATGGCTCAGAGACTAAAGCGCTTTCTGCACAGGCATGAAGTCCCGAGTTTGGATCCTCAGAACCCACATAAAATCCAGACACTGTAGCGTGTAGCTGTAACCCCAATGTGAACCAGAGACAGCCAGGCCTGCAGGACTTGCTGGTCAGCCAGCCTAACTGAGACAGGGATTTACAGGTTCAGTATGCGACTCCTTCTCAAAGACTAAGGTGCAGACAATTCCAGGAAGACAACTACCATCAACTTCTGGCCTCCGCACATAGGCGCATGCACATGAACGCACAAACAACAAAAAAAAAAAAAAATTAAGGGATTAAAATTATACAAAGAACAAGAAATCACTCTGATAAAACTAAGTAAAACAGGAGTGGGACTAACAAGTGGTATCATTAAGTGTTGACTGGCACTTTGTTAAACTGTCCTTCATTGTGTGTGTGTGTGTGCGCGTGCATGTGTGTGTGTGCCTGCGCACAAGTGTGTGTGTGTGCGCGCATGCTGGAACTCTGTCAATTTTTGTCATTTTGAGCATGACTATATATGGAGGCCTGGGATTAAGCAACTTTGTCATCTGACGAGCACAGTCAGGAGTCTGAAATAGAAACCAAGGCATAGCTAAACTCATTTGCAAAGGCCAGAACCGGCACAATTTACTTCATGCGAACGCTTAAAAGGCTTAACTGGGCTGTGTCACATGCTACTTTGCCCTAATGAGGCCAACAGTAGGAATTAGAGCACTGCCTTCCAGGAGAGCACTGTGGAGGGAGGGGACATAGACTCAGACACATAGAGCCACTCTCTACACTGTGGGAGATGATGAACATGCAAGTGTGTCGTTTCCTAACTAGAGTCCTGTCCCAAACATGATGTTCCTGAACAATGGGATCAACGTGATGAGGGCCTGGCTGCATCTGAATGCAAAAGGGATAACTGTCTGGGGAATAAGAACAGACAGAGAAACTAGCAAGAGCTGGAGGGGAGACCTAGAAAAGCCAGTGTAGGTACCACAGGCTGATGTGAAGGGTATAGGCAAGGTGCTTGGCGAGCAGGGGGACGGTTCTCCTCTGGGTGTGAGAGTGAAATTCACATCAATTTGTACAAATCTCAGGTACGGAGCCACAGACTTGTTAACACGGGAGTTTTCTTTCCTAACTTTAAGCTTCCGTATCCGAAAAAAGGCTCCGTACACTGGACTCCTCACAATGAGGTGCATTTTTTTGAATCTGAAAGTCAAATGCTGAGGTCTGGCTACTTTGAGAGAGAAATATTATCACCAACCACAGCGGCTACGGTTGAGCCTGGTGCCATGTGAAGTACTTCATGTGCAAAATTTCTCTCCACCTTTATTATGCAACTCTGAAACTTTTAGTCCACGCTTATTTCACAGATGTGGGAAAACAAGGATGTGACGGAGTTCCATCATTTACTCGAGGCCACACAGAAATGGGTGAAGGTGAAATTCAAAGCCAGGGCTCCCCTGGATAGGATCCTCCAACATGCATATTCTGAGCCGAGCATCACCCTGATGCCAACTGCGAAGACAGATCTACAGAAACATAGAACATAGCTATGAAGTGAACCTGCCTCATCCCCCAGCTCACGACCTCCACCTTGAGTTAGGTGCCTTCCCTTACCCATCACTCTGCCAATATTGGCTTTGGTTTACTGGGAAAATGAGTAGAGACGGCTTGGCCAGGCAGCCCATCTAAGAGAACACTGAGTTTATTCCTCCAGCAGCAGGGCAGGATCCCAGCTCCAGCACCCGAGTCTCTAAATTCTGTTTTTGAGCATCCTCTGACTGTTCCCGCCTCTTAAGCCTGCTTTTTCCTCATCTGCAAGGTAGAACTGATGAGAACAGTGGCCATAGAGAAAGAAGGATGTGTGCTTTTCCCTGCTGTCACGGGGCTGCAGGCAGATGGTCTAGTCACTCAGTGCCTCAGCCTACTCCTCCTTTGGGGATTTGGATGGGGATGAAGGACGTCCCAGACTCCAGGTAGGACGTTCCTTGCCATTCCTAAGAGGTGAACTGAATTGGCTTTCAGAGGAAGCGGCGGCTTCCTCTGAAGTGGTT